TGCATATCAGTACTTTGAATGCTTGGAAATTGTACTGCCTCAACATTTGTAGATATATATACTCACACTGTATGTGCATTGCATTACCAGTCTAGCTTCTGATGGCATGTGCTGCATTATAGGCTAGTTCTTATGATGAAAGACTTTCTCTTCACATGGGCAGAATCACTCTATTTTTTTGTTTGTAAAAATTCCTCTTGGGAGTTGGGATGGTGAAGGAGAGAAAGAAGGTGTTTGTTTCCAGCTGATGCACAGAAAGATGGGACAGTTTGAATCAGCAGGCAGGAGAACCCAAGGAAATGAACGAGATGATCAATTTGGGGCAGCTCCAGAGAAAACCCATTCTGCTTTAACCAATTAACAGACTTTCATTCATTCCCCCTCCTTCTCTAATCACCTCCTAGTAGTTCTGAATGAGGTGCACTGTGATCAGGTATTTAGTAGTTGATACATTATGCAAGAAATACATCTCTTAGCAGGAAAAAAGCACAGATATATATTTTTCTCTTTGAATGATGAAATCCAGTAAGGTCTGAAGTTAGGTTTTCAGGAATATTGTGTTACTGTCAGGGTATAGTAACACAGAATCTATCGAAACAAAATATGCTTAGCATGTATCCATGACTAATTAACATGGAAACATAGCCTTTGCAAAATTTACAGTGTGGCCATCTTGGCCACACCCAAAGCTAAATCAATCAAAAAAGTCTCATGCTCATGGTTTGGAAGAATCAATGTCATTAAAATGGCCATACTGCCCAAAGCAATTTACAGATTCAATACTATTCCTATCAAACTAGCAATGTCATTCTTCACAGAATTAGAAAAAAACTACTTTAAAATTCATGTGGAATCAAAAAAGAGCCTGAATAGCCTAAGTAATCCTAAGCAAAAAGAACAAAGCCAGAGGCATCACACTATCCAACTTCCAACTAAACTATAAGGCTACAGTAACCAAAACAGCATGGTACTGGCACAAAAACAGACACATAGACCAGGATAGAAACAGACACATAGACCAGGACAGACACATAGACAGGATAGAAAACTCAGAAATAAAGCTGCACATCTACAACCATCTGATCTTCAACAAGGCTGACAAAAATGAACAAAGGAGAAAGGACTCCCCATTCAATAAATGCTGCTGGGATAACTGGCTAGCCATGTGTAGAAGAAAAAAACTAGAACCCTACCTTTTATCATATACCAAAATTAACTAAAAATTGATTAAATAATTAAATGTAAGGCCTCAAACTAAAAAAATTCTAGAAGAAATCAGAAAATATCCTTTTCAACATTGGTCTTGGCAAAGAATTTATGACCAAGCCCCCAAAAGCAATTGCAACAAAAACAAAAATTGACAAGTAGGACTTCATTAAACTAAAGCGCTTTTGCACAGCAAAAGAAACTATCAACAGACTAAACAGATAACCTACAGAATGGGAGAAAATATTCACAAACTAGGCATCTGACGAAAGTCTAATATCCAGAATCTATAGGGAATTTAAACAGTTCAAAAAGCAAAAAACAAATAACCCCATTAAAAAGTAGGCAAAGGACATGAACAGACACTTCTCAAAAGAAGACACATATGAGGTCAATATATGAAAAAATACTCAGCATCAGTAATACTCAGGGAAATGCAAATCAAAACTACAATGAAATGCCATCTCACACGAGTCAGAATGGCTACTAAAAAATCAGAAAATAACAGATGTTGATGAGGTTGCAGAGAAAAAGAAATGCTTATATACTATTAGTAGGAATGTAAATTAGTTCAGCCACTGTGAAAAGCAGTTTGGAGATTTCTCAAAGAACTTAAAACACAGCTACCATTCAAACCAGCAATCCCATATCATTATATCAAAAAGACACATGCACTCGCATGTTCATCACTAGCTATTCATAACAGCAAAAACATGGAATCAATCGAGGTGGCCATCAATGGTGGATTGGATAAAGGAAATAATGATACATATATACCATGGAATACTATGCAACCAGGAAAAAGAATGAACTCATGTCCTTTGCAGCAACTTGGATGGAATTGGAGGCCATAATCCTAAGTGAATTAATGTAGGAACAGAAAGCCAAATACTGCATGTTCTCACTTATAAGGGAGAGGTAAACACTGAGCATATATGGATATAAACATGGGAATAATAGACACTGTGGACTACTAGAGGGCAGGTGGGTGTGGGTTGAAAAACTACATATTGGGTACTCTGCTTACTACCTGGGTCCAATATACCCATGTAACAATCCTACACATGTATCCTTTATATCTAAAATAAAAGCTAATTTTTTTTTAAATCATCCTTTGGAATTGACTTCTCTTCCCTCTCTCTATGTATGGGTGTGTGTGCACATATGTACACTATGAACACAAGCATGTTTTGATATTGGTCTGATTGGTTAAACAAAGTCAACCAAAGCAATACAAACTGTACGTATTAAGATTATACTACATACACATTTGGTGCTAGTTAATGTAGAGCTTACAACAAATCCTAAAACACAGTGCATTTCCTCAAGATTGTTACCTATTAGGGTTACAAAAATGAGTAAGATCCGTTTTTATTCATTCATTAGGATCTGGCAGAAACCTGCTAAAGGCTACATGGTAGATTTTTCAAGAAGAGTCAGGCTTTAGGTATTTTGTGCAGTTACTGATTTGTGTGCATTACTGATTTTATTCATATTTTGGATTCCTGTAAGAGTATTACTAACTTAGGTTTTTGGTTGTTGTTGTTGTAATAATTAAGTGAGGTAACATATTTTACACAGTAAAAGGCAGTATTAATAGAGGTTAAAAATCAGATGCTTAAGAATCAAATAAGCTGGATTACCTTGAGTTATTTAAACTCTAATACTGTTTCTTTGTCTATCAAATAAAGATAGTAAAAGTACATAATTCAGAGGGTTAAACTCAGAGGATTAAATATATTAATATATGTTAAGTATCTAGTATACTGTAAGCAATCAATAAATGTTAAAATGCTATTACATGTTTGATCATGTTAGTCAGGCAACAAATATGGAAACACAATGGCTCAAGATTACTCTGAAAAACTGTGGCTAAACCATAGAGTTTGAGAAGGAAACTGAGACAGATGAGGCTGGGCACAGGCCTAACTGTGAAGAGCCTTGCAGGTCATGTTAATTTTGATCTTAAAAGCAATGAGGAACTATTAAATTGTCTTACAGAGGAGAGGCACGTGATCAAATTTATTCTTTTGAAGATTTCTGGCCGGGGTGGAGAGGAGGGCTCAGAGGGAAGCAGAGAGACCTCTTGGCAAGCCTCTGTACCAGGAAATAAGTGTTGATTATACGAATTAGTGTAGGGACTGTGGGGTCAGAGAGAAATGGATGGAATCAAGAGATAATTAGAAAATAGGAGAAGAGAAGGGAGAAAGCAAGAGAAAAGAATATGGGCAACTAGATGGATGATAATGCCATTCATTCACTGATAAGAGGAACCTAGAAAGAAACAGATTTATGAAGAAATGATTGATATAGCTTCGGGCACAATGAACTTAAAGAGATCTTAGAGAAGTTAATTGAGCCAATAGACTGTGAAAGTTGGATGAAGCGACCTCTAAGGTTCCTTCTAGTTCTATCATTACAACTGTAGATTTACTGATCCACTGTCTGTTGCAGTGGCAATCACAAGGAATCTCTGAGCTCTGCCTCTCTGTGGTGAAGAAACCACACACAGCCAGGCATAGTGGCTCACGCCTGCAGTCAATTCCAACACTTTGGGAGGCTGAGGCGGGCCAATTGCTTGAGCCCAGGAGATCAAAACCAGCCTGGGCAACATAGCAAAACCCTGTCTCTACAAAAAATACAAAAAAATTGGCTGGGCATGATGGTTTGTGCCTGTAGTCCCAACTACTTGGGCAGCAGAAGTGGAGGATCACTTAAGCCTGGGAGCTCGAGGCTGCAGTGAGCTGTGATCGTGCCACTGCACTCCAGCCTAGGTGACAGATCAAGACCCTGTCTCCAAATAAATAAATATAACAATTAAAACAGAATAAACCACACCCAAGAGACTACATGACCCCATATTTAAGTAAATGCTCAATCATCCCACACCCTGGTATAGACTCAGTGCCATTGGCTGTATGAATAAGACCACACAGAGTCCCACTTCTTTCCTATTTACTGTGTTTGATTTGAAACCTGGATACACCCCACTACCACTCACATATATATTCCATTTATGGTTTTGCCCTGACTCTGATGCCCAGCTTGGATCTCTGGACACTGACTCACCTACTTGGTTTTTCAATCTGTCCTTCCCTCTAATTTGAGGCAAAATTCTGGACTGTGACCTGGATTGCATGCTCTAGTGGTACTTTCCTATATAACCACCCACATGCTATTACAATTTAGATACTCTGATGATGAATAGAATTGGAAAGCTTTAGCCCCTATAGGCTCAAAATCCCTTACCTTCTGTGATCTTCTTTGTACTGATACTTCCCAGAAGCCAGAAATTACCTTAGCCCCAAGCCCATGGTGAACAGAGTCAAGAATCAAAATACTGATAGATTCATCAGGGTTATGCTATTCCTAAGTTTCAAGAACATAATCATCAATAGTCAATAAATTGATCCATAGCACCACCCATCATTTAATAAACTATCCTCCACTGTGGTGTACCATTTCAGAACAATTTCATCATTAGCCTTTAAACCTCGACAATAATAGGTCATTCCATATAAGCCATAAATCTGTTTTCTTATCTAAGAGAGGAGCAAGTTCGCCTCATAATAAGGTCAGACAGCAAATGCGCACAGTGGCTGTGGCTGTCGTGGCGGTCTGGAAATAAAGGTGGCTTGGGAATGAGGAAAAATATTTGGGACTTATCCACAGGCCTGGTCATTGCAAACTGGCAAGAAAATAGAAAGGCACCATTAAATTTGGGGTGAGTCTTGAATTAGGTTATGACACATCTGTGTTGCCAAACATGAATTTTGGGAAAAAGAGACACTCACCTGCTTACAGTTTCCTTTGCATAAGTCAGTTTCTAAGGAAAACAAAGACATAAAAATGACTGAGTTAATAACAGGTATTAAGGAGTAAATAAAACTTATTTCATAGAGACCACTACTGCCCTAACATGGTAGAATCCATGTTACTATTCTCTATGGTTAGACAAGTGATTAAAACAAGTACTAATGATACCAAGTTTGTTTTGCGACTATAGCAACACCCTGACATTCAGTCTGCTTATATGCACCAAAGTTCCTATGCTCTTTCTTAATGGGCACAAATAACAGACTTGATCTGCCAATAAAGTTATAGATTTGCAGAGTTTTACATAAACCTGCCATGGACTTAGAATCAAAGAATTTTTTATCCGATGTATTTATAGTAATTCTCATCCTAGAACAATGTAAACGTGGATAAAATAATTGATAAATTTGTTTCTACAGAATTCAGACAAAAAAGACATATCATACCAATAATTGGATTATTCTCCAGGGGCATTCTAAAGCAAATTGCCTGCAAGTTTCCCCTAAATTAGGATTGTTATTTTGAGATCATTATGATAGAAGGAATAGTGACTCGGAATCAGGAGACCTAGTTTCAAGTTCCAGTTTCCCCTCCTTAGCTATATAGGAAAATGCCAAAATCTCTCTGGTGCCGGGCCTCAATTTCCTAATCAGTAAAACAGAGAGACTATTACTCTAAATACCTCTCATGGCATTTAGAAGTGACTCACTGCTCTTCTTGCTCTACAGACTCTCCCAGAATAATCTCAGCCACTCTCATGGTTTCAATTATAGGCATACCTCTGATATATTACAGGTTTGGTTCCAGACCACATAAAAGCTCAATGAAGCAAATATCCCAGTAACGCAAGTCACATGTTTTTCTGTTTCCTAGTGCATATAAAAGTTATGTTTACATTATACTGTAGTCTATTAAAAGTGCAATAACATCACATCTTAAAAAGGTATATATCTTAATTTTAAAATACTTCATTGCTAAAAAATACTAACAATACTCTGAGCCTTCAGCAAGTCATCATGTTTCTGCTTCTGGAGGGTCTCGCCTCCCACTTGATGGCTGCTGACTAATCAAAATGATGGCTGCTGATGATTGAGGGAACGGTGGCAGTTTCATAAAAATAAGACAGCAATGAATTTGGCCCCATCAATTGATTTTTTCTTTCACAAAAGATTTCCCTGAAATAGATAATGCTATTGATAACATTTTATCTAAAACTTCTCTTAAAATTGGAGTCAATCCTCTCAAATCCTGTCACTTCTTTATCAACTGAGTTTATGTAATATTCTAAATCCTTTACTGTCATTTCGATAGTGTTCCCAGCATCTTTACCAGAAGTAGATTCCATTTGAAGAAACAGCTTTCTTTGTTCATTCATAAGAAGAAATTTCTTATTCATTCAAGTATTATTATGAGATTGTAGCAATTTAGTCTCATCTTCAGGTTGTTCTTCTAAGTCTAGTTCTCTCACTATTTCCACCACATCTGTGGTTACTTCCTCTGATGAAGTCTTGAGCCCCTCCAAGTCATCCATGAGAGTTGGAATCAACGTCTTCCAAACCCTTATTCATGTCGGTATTTTGACCTCACCTATTGAGTCACGAATGTTGTGAGTGCCATCTGGATGGTAAATCCTTTCCAGAAGATTTTCAGTTCACTTTGCCTAGATCCATCAAAGAAATCACTATCTATCGCAGCTGTATGAAAAGTATGTCTAAAATCACAACACTTAAAAGTTGAAATTACTCCTTACTCCATGGGCTGCAGAATAAATATTGTATTGGCAGGCACAAAAACAACATTAATCTCCTTGTACATCCCCATCAGAGCTCTTGGGTGGCTACATGCATTGCCCATGAGCAGTAATACTTGAAAAAAAAAAATTCTGAGCAGTAGGTTTCAAAGATGGGCTTAAAAGATTCAGTAAACCATACTGTAAACAGATGTGGTGCCATCAGACTTTTTTGTTCCATTTATAGAGCATAAGGGGAGTAGATTTAGCATATTTCTTAAGGGCCCTGGGATTTTTGGCACAGTAAATAAGCATTGCCTTCCAACTTAAGTCACTAACTGCATTATCCTATAACAAGAAATTCAGCCTGTCCTTCATTGACTTCTCTCTCACTATCGAAGTTCTAGGTGGCATCTTTGTCCAGTAGAAAGCTGCTTCATCTACATTAAAAATCTTTCATTCCATGTAGCCACCTTCATAATCTTAGCTAGATCTTCTAGACAACTTGCTACAGCTTCTGCATCAGTACTTGCTTATGTTATGAAGATAGCTTCTTTTCTTAACTACATAAACCAACCTCTGCTATCTTCCAACTATTCTTCTGAAGCTTCCTCACCTCTCTCAGCCTTCACAGAATTGAAAAGAGTGAGGCCTTGCTCTGGATCTGGCTTTGGTTAAGGGAATGTTATGGTTGCTCTGATCTTCCACTCTGGCCACTAACACTTTCTCCATATCAGCAAGAAGGCTGTTTTGCTTACTTATCACTCATTTGCTCACTGGAATAGCACTTTTAATTTATTTTTATTTATTTATTTATTTACTTTTACTTTAAGTTCCAGGATACAAGTGTAGAATGTGTAGGTTTGTTACATAGGTATACATGTGCCATGGTGGTTTGCTGCACCTATCAGCCCATCATCTAGTTTTTAAGCCCCACATGCATTAGCTATTTGTCCTAATGCTCTCCCTCCCCCCAACTAGCCCGGTTTATGTTGTTCCCCTTCCTTTGTCCATGTGTTCTTACTATTCAACTCGCACTTATTAATGAGAACATGTGGTGTTTTGTTTTCTGTTCCTGGGTTAGTTTGCTGAGAATGATGGCTTCCAGCTTCATCCATGTCCCTGCAAAGGATATGATCTCATTCCTTTTTATGGCTGCATAGTATTCCATGGTATATATGTACCACATGTTCTTCATTCAGTCTATCATTGATGGGCATTTGGGTAGGTTCCATGTCTTTGTTATTGTAAATAGTGCTGCAATAAACATACATGTGCATGTGTCTTTATAGTAGAATGATTTATATTCCTTTGGGTGTATACCCAAAAATGGGATTGCTGGGTCAAATGGTATTTCTGGTTCTAGATCCTTGAGGAATCACCACATTGTGTTCCACAATAGTTGAACTAATTTTCATTCCCACCAGCAGTGTAAAAGCATTCCTATTTCTCAACAGCCTCGCCAGAATCTATTGTTTCTTGACTTCTTAATCATCGCCATTCTGACCGGTGTGAGATGGGATGTCATTTTGGTTCTGATTTGCTTTTCTCAAACGACCAGTGATGATGAGCTTTTTTTCATATGTTTGTTGGCTGTATAAATGTCTTCTTTTCAGAAAGGCTGTTACATCCTATACCCACTTTTTGATGGGGGTTTTTTCTTGTAAACTTCAGTTCCTTGTAGATTCTAGATATTAGACTTTTGTCAGATGGGTAGATTGCAAAATTTTCTCACATTCTGTAGGTTGCCTCTTCACTCTGATGAGAGTTTCTTTTGCTGTGCAGGAGTTTTTTAGTTTAATTAGATCCCATTTGTCAATTTTGACTTTTGTTGTTACTGCTTTTGGCATTTTCGTCAGGAAATCTTTGCCCATGCCTACGTCCTGAATGGTATTGCCTAGGTTTTCTTCTAGGGTGTTTATGGTTTTGGGTTTTACATTTAAGTTTTTAATCTATCTTGAGTTAATTTTTGTATAAGGTGTAAGGAAGTGGTCCAGTTTCAGTTTTCTGCATATGGCTAACCAGTGTTCCCAGCACCATTTATTAAATAGGGAATTCTTTTCCCAGCTTGTTTTTGTCAGGTTTATCAAAGATGAGATGGTTGTAGATATGTGGTGTTATTTTTGAGGTCTCTGTTCTGTTCCATTGGTCTATATGTCTGTTTCGGCACCAGTACCATGCTGTTTTGGTTACTGTAGCCTTGCAGTCTAGTTTGAAGTCAGGTAGTATGATGCCTCCAGCTTTGCTGTTTTTGCTTAGGATTGTCTTAGCTATACAGGCCCTTTTTAGTAGTTTTTTTTAATTCTGTGAAGAATGTCAATGGTAGTTTGATGGGAATAGCATTGAGTCTATAAATTACTTTGGGCAATATGGCCATTTTCACAATATTGTATCTTCCTATTCATAAAGATGGAATGTTTTTTCATTTGTTTGTGTCCTCTCTTATTTCTTCGAGCAGTGAGTGGTTTGTAGTTCTCCCTGAAGAGGTTCTCTGCATACCTTGTTAGCTGTATTCCTAGATATTTTATTCCTTTTGTAGCAGTTGTCAATGGGAGTTCATTCATGATTTGGCTCTCTGCTTGTCTATAATTGGTGTATAGGAATGCGTGTGTATTTTTCACATTGATTTTGTATCCTGAGACTTTGCTGAAGTTGGTTATCAGCTTAAGGAGTTTTGGGGCTGAGACATTGGGGTTTTCTAGATATAGAACCATGTTGTCTGCAATCAGAGTCAATCTGACTTCCTCTCTTCCTGCTTGAATACATTTCTTTCTCTTGCCTGATTGCCTTGGCCAGAAATTCCAATATTATGTTGAATAGGAATAGTGAGAGAGGGCATGCTTGTCTTGTCTTGTGCCGGTTTTCAAAGGGAATGTTTCCAACCTTTGCCCATTCGGTATGATATTGGGTGTGGGTTTTTGTCATAAATAGCTCTTATTATTTTGAGATATGTTCCATCAATACCAAGTTTGTTGAGAGTTTTTAACATGAAAGGCTGTTGAATTTTGTCAAAGGCCTTTTCTGCATCTATTGAGATGACTGTGGTTCTGTTTATGTGATGGATTATGTTTATTGATTTGCATATGTTGGACGAGCCTTGCATCCCAGGGATGAAGCCAACTTGATTGTGCTATATAAGCTTTTTGATGTACTGCTGGATTGGTTTTGCCAATATTTTATTGAGGATTTTTGCATCAATGTTCATCAGGCATATTGGCCTGAAGTTTTCTTTTTTTGTTGTGCGCCTGCCAGGTTTTGGTATCAGGATGATGCTGGCCTCA